CCCAGGTTATACACCACCGCTCTGATGGCCTCGGTGCCGGGCTTGGTGAAGCTCCATATGTACATGTCAGGCACGGTGGTCCCACACTCCAGGATCACAGCTTTCCCCACCACTCCATACACGAAGGTGTCACGATAAACCACCTCCCAGTTCTGATTGATCTCCACGGCTGCGGTCGGGACAGGATACACCGATACGCCTGCAAAGGTGTGTGTGTTAGAGAAATGGAGACGGTTGGTGTCATGTGCCCTGCCAGGGTTCAGCTGCAGGATTGATTACAATACAAGATTCAAGAGGAATGTGAAACAGGTTTCTAGAGGATTCTTTTACTCTTTACAATCAAAATCTACTTCTGAAACATGCTTTTTCTTCATAAATTTCATTTTAATCTCTTACAAGTTAGAAACTTCTTCTATAATCTTCATTTCTATAATGTTTACAAATTTTTAACTGTGTTCATATGCATTATTAATAAACTCAAAATGTAAATGTACTTTATGTGATTAAATAAGTAAATAAAGACTAAAGATATTTAGAAAATGAAGTTTCCCTGCTCTTCAACAGGTCTTCGGATTCTACAGAAGCCAGATAGAACTCATTTATTCAAATCAGGTGAGACAAAGCAGGGAAACAAACAAGCAGGATGGTGGTCCACAAGGACCAGTATCCAGTAAATCCTTACCATGCGCAGTAAAGGTGAGTGGACTGGTGGTCAGGTATAAAAAGGCCAGCCCTAGCAGTTCGGCCACCATGATATCATCATGATCCTGAGTCCAGCAGCTTCTCTACGACAAAAAAAACATTACAGAAATCCAAAACCCAAAAGATCCCAGACCCCAAAATCAGTACATTGTCCCCTTCCCTCCCAGCCTGAGTCTGGTTTTCACGTCTCTCCGGTCTCTCTCAGACCCTCGGGTTTCTTGAAGAGTCCAGCTGAAAGCAGTGACTTTGTTAGACTGAGAGCAGGAAAACACAAGAGGGTCACTAAAACTGATTTGGGTTCAATTATTGATGCATTTTCCTTTCTCTCTCTCTCTCTCTCTCTCTCTCTCTCTCTCTCTCTCTCTCTCTCTCTCTCTTGCTCTCCGTCCCTCTTTCTTTGAGGTTAGAATAACACGATGATACCGAGCTCATTCATTATGCAGAACCGACTCACAGGTGGACGGGTCGGCCTTCTACACAGGCACAAACACACCTGTACAGAACTGCACGTTAACCGACTCAACCAGGGACTATTTAATAAATCTGTTATTTATTAGCATTCCTTCATGGAGGACATTCACATCAGGGTTTTGTTTAAAATATTCATTGTTTCGATTTTATTTGGTCGAATCAGAATACTAAAATGAAAATTTGAAACTGAAAAATACATTTTTAAAAGATAAACTAAATGAGAAAAGCGTTTATTTTACAGGTTTCTTGTCATTTTCGCTTAAAAAATTACAAGGTTAATAAAAACTTCCATCACACCATTAGTGCAGATGAATTTTTTATATCTTCTCACTAACAAGATAAAATTAGTTGTTCTTTTTTAATACTGTTTATTGTTTTGATGCCATTCTAAAGACAAATATGAGTCCGGTCCTTTCAGGTGAACTTTACAATCCAAGGTTTCATTTTCTGATGTCAAAGGTCGTTGTGAACTAAAGAGGCAGAGTAAACTGCTCTGATGGGATTTGGATTAAAGTAGATTGAAAAATCTGGCGTCTCCAATTTTTCTAATCCGAGTGTTGACATTGCACTGTGGTGGCAACAATTCATGTTCCAACATTAAAGTTTTCTTCCTGTTACTAATTTTTCTTTTATTTATCCCCCCACCCCCACCCTGATTTCACGGACGAGTTTAGATGTTTATATAATAGGAAGAAGAGGAGGGATTGCTAAGTGGGTCTATGAGAATGTAATATGAGATGTTTTTCATGAATGAATGCAGGACAGAGATCAGTTTTCTTCAGCTTGCGAGAAAGAGCCGAGCACTTCACACACCAAGCTTCATGATGGACGAGGGTTTTAGTCATTCCATTAAAAAAATACGCAAGGAAATACATAAAAATATATAATATAYTATAGCCTATTCTATCTCTGGAGTTCAGTAGAAGTCTGTTTTAAAACATGTTTAAGCAGTTTCCCTAAGTCACGCTTGGTTTTCCCTTACTAGATCAGAACTACATGAAGAGTTAAAAAGAGTCTCAACATCCCATGAAAATTAAAAAAAACTAAAATAATGCTCAGAAAAATAAAAAATGTTCACATTCATTCATATTTATATTTTTCTAAATTTGATGCTGACTGTAAAAACGACTAAAAACCCATTTTATTTCAGCTCAAAACTTTAACATGCATATTTTTTCTCCTTCCCTCAGTTGTTGCTGCAGCAGATCATCAGTCTGATGATGAGGATGAGGAAGACGTGAGTCAGCCTCTTCTGTTTTGCATGACTCTCGTCTCAGTGATGATGTTACAGGACTACATGTTCCACTCCTCTTTTTCTTTCTTCTCTTCTTACTTCATTCCCCTTTGGTGACCCATAAAAAACTCTGTCAATCCTCTCCTTTCTTCTTTCTTTTTATTACATTACTCTCTCAGGACAGACGGAAGTTTTCAGATGTCATAAGTAGTAACAAACCCACGGGGGTCGTTGGTTACAAATAATAAAAAAACAGCATTCAATTTTACAAAGGTTGACAAGGCATAAAATCGATTCAGAATACCAAATGTACAACATGTTTTTCTTCTCTTGCCTCTGCAGGTATAAGCAGGAAACAAGCTGCCAGGTCATTAAAGTGTCATGTTGGACCCAAGTCAGAGCCAGATTCAGAATCAAAACTTGAGTTTTAATATTTAAACTGGGAGGAATCCAAGGAGAGCAGAACATGACGTTGACAGGAACATGAYTAACAGGACGATCAAACAGGAGCCAGGTGTAAGAACCAGAGACTACCGAAGACAACYGTCGTGGTTTTATTACAGTGTAATAACCATAGAATGTAGAAAATAATAGAATATATCTATGGTTATAAGATTTAAAAGCCTTAGACAAAACTATAACAAACAAAACAAATTAAAATCAGGAGCACATTTAAAAAATGACTGAACAAAACTACGTATTAGATAAAATATAACAAAACTAAATATATTTTAACACATAAAACTAGAAAATTTGGACACACTGAAGAACTGAAATCAATAAATTTATAACYTTTTAAAACTGGTTTGCAGTGGTGGGCACAGTTCCCCTAAAGCACTAACTAATTTTCTGATTAGTGCTTTAGGGCTTCTGCTAATTTTAAAATTTATTAGTGTATTAGCACTTGCTAAATTTAGAAGCACTAATTGAAGTCTATAAATGTTATTGATAAATGTTAATGTTAACTGAAGGTGAAAGCTGTCACACATTTTGTTCATGTGTGTGTCACTTATCCACCAGGTGACAGTATTTGAACTCAAGAAAGGCTGTAGAATGTCAATGATAAGTCTTAAGAGAGCAGCCTGGCAGTATGGGACTCATGTTGTCTGTTGGAGAATGTTCCATGGGTTAATTGGGTTATTTTAGTGCTTTAGAATTAGCTTTTGCTAAATTTTCAGTGRGTTAGTTCTTTAGAATTAGGGTGCCTAAATATTTGAATTAGTGTTTTAGGGTTAGTGGAACTAATTTTTAGATTAGTGTTGCCCACCACTGCTGGTTTGGATGTAGATCTTCCAGAACCACCTTATGTTAAACATCTTATTGTTCCATACTTTCCTAACAGAGCACTTCGCTCTCAGACTGCAGGTTTACTTGTGGTTCCTCGAGTTTCTAAAAGTAGGAGGTAGCGCTTTCAGTTATCAAGCTCCTCTCTTGTGGAACCAACTTCCAGTTTCTGTCCGTGAGGCTGACACTCTGTCTACTTTTAAGATTAGACTGAAGACMTTCCTTTTTGATAAATCCTATAGTTAGACTTAAGTTTCCTCAGTTATTCCTTAGTTCTGCTGCMATAGACTTAGACTGCTGGAGGACAAACTGAGCACATTTCRTCACTCTGCTGCTGTCTTTAGTCTCTCTCSTCTACATGTTTGTTGTGATTATTTCTATCAATAACATATTTTCTTTGTCTCTCTTCCAGAGGAAAATACWCKTGCACCAGCCCTTCTGTGTTTGTCTGTGTCTCTTTCCTGTCCRATTCTATTAATAATGTGTTTWCTTTGTCTTTCACATGGATCAGTCATGTTTTTCGGCATCTCTGTCCTGTCCCCACAAACCCAGCCAGTTGAGGCAGATTGCCTGTCCTGGTTCTAGTTCTAGTCTTGCTGGAGGTTTCTTCAAGGAAGTTTTTTCTTTCCACTCTCACCAATGTGAACTATATGCTGGCATTGACAGTTAACCTTGTTACAGACAGGAGGTTGACCAGAAGAAGACGCAGTCATCTGGGCTGATGATTCAGCAGCTTCCTGACAGAAATGATGCTGAATCCATGAATCCATCCCTGTCCGATCCTCAGATCTACCTGTGAAGAACTGACTTCTGCACCGATCACACTAAAGGGTAATGAGCTTTTTGAAACAGAAAAACAAATGCCCAATTATTGGAAATTTACATTTTTTATTTATGAAATTAAATAGTAAAATAAGCAGCAGAGATCCTTTAGACAAACATAATTATRTGGATCAAACCAAAGTTTATCTTATTTTAAAGAACATAATAATGAAAAATCAGATCTTGTTTTAGTACATAATGTATTGCTTTAAGTGATTGTGTGACAYAACAGAGTGATACTACAGATTAAATATGAGGTGTATCAGTGAAAGTGAGARGTTCACACTGGCAGGATTCATCTGTCTGCTTCGTTCTTCATCTTGTTTCTCCCTGCAGAAAGTTGAAAAGAAGAGACTTTTTAAGTACTCACAAAAATGMGATTGTTGTCTTCGTGAAGGTAGAAACAGTCTACTATCTTTAAAAACACTTTAATGTCAAATCATAAAAAGATTTACAAGTAAAACAAAAAAGATGGCAATACCTTGGGTTCTGTTGCTTCTAGAAAAGACAAACATTGTGTTTCAGTATCAGGAAGATAAACAGTTAATGTGTTTAATTTGGGTTTGTCTTGCCTGGAGCAAAGGATCCACCGACGTTCTCGATCCCACCCTCTTCAATTGACCAGTTCATCCTCTGGGTGGTTGATGTTTTCTCTGGACTGGCTGTGCAGCCTGGAAGCACCAGATAAAACAAATGAATGGCTTGTGTAGATAACTAGTTGTACACGAGCCCAAAAGAATAAAGAATAAATAATAATAATGATAGAAATAATTATAGTAATAATTAGAATTTCATAAAAATATGAGCTTAGCTGATTTCTGAAGCTAGTATCGTATCTAACCCACCATTGTTGACCAAAACCAGTTATGCAAGTGTGAAAAGTCACAGCAATAAGATAGTAAGATAAGTTAAAAATCAGGCCTCCAGATATATTTAAAAAAGTGATTTTAGGTTCTTARTCTGATCTTAGTGGAATTGAGATGAAAGTTTATAAACAATTAATATCTTACCTGCTGTAYATAGCTCTTTGATCGACCACAGTTTGGAAAAACTGTTTATTTCTGATCAACAACTAATCTGTGGAACCAAGACTACACTGCACTGCTGCCATTTTAAAGTGGACATACCCTGCCTTTAAATCCTCCTTTTTTACATTTAAATCATTCACTTGGGGGTCTTTATAAYTTGAACTGCAATGATTTGGTCTGAATTCCTCCTTACTGTAACTCCACAAGCCCCTCCTTCACCTCTTTTCTGAAGTGTGTCTCAGATCAACTCGTTTTGAGGCTGTCTTTTTAATTGCAAATAAGGCGATTCACATGCCACCCCCTCCAGCTTCTAGATTGGTCCATTCTAGTTTGATAGAGGGGTTTACYAGCTGRGCAGAAACATTTTATTTATAAATAAATTAAAAGCTATCAACAACAGAAGACTTGTCCATCCAACCTGACATGTTGGAGCCAGAGGAGAATGAAGATCACCAACATGTAGATGATAAGTCCAGACCTTATTTAAACATTTTGTCACAAATTCTGTGACCTAATAGTTCAGAAAATATCACAGAAATATGACAGAATATAAAGATTTCTACGCAGTACCAGGAGAGGCTAAGTTGAACCTTTCTGCACTCCTAGAGACTCAAAGTACACAACAAAATGTATATGACGACTTAAAAGTGGATTTTGCAGGACATGTCCCCTTTAAAAGTGTTTTATGCAATGCTATTTTAACATTTGCATTGCTGTCAGTCTTTTTTCTAGAATTTTGTTATTTTCAAATAAGCGATTTATGATGCAGACTGTGTCACTTCCAGCTGGGATATACTGGAATAACTGAGTAATTAGAAACTGTGTAAAGGTTTATAAGATGAAAGTAAAAATTACTACCTATTGTTATGATTGAAACGTGCCTGTGTGATAAGCCCAAGAAGATGGTTATATAGATATTATACAAATAATATTTCATTACTTACGAGCCAAACAGCATAGCATGTAGTCCTGAAGGAGAAAACATGAAACACAACATTATACATGTGTTAATGTAAACACGCTTGGTATTTTTGTGTATGACTCACGGGGATTGTTGCTGCGGTTGCGGAATATATAAATGAGAAGCAGCACTGTAGGAATGGCTGTGAAGAGCATCCCYCTGACAGCTGCTCCAACCACAGCAGGATACATGTTGTTGTGTTGTTCCACTGCAAAAAAAAAAAAAAAACACCACAGTGGCAAAATATAGATAAAGATGCACAACTCTGATGAAACACTGTGGTTTTTTATCTTGGCAAAAAATGATGACAGACAGGAAGGCCRGGAACGTTGAATTTTAACTGTTTATTCCAAAGAGAAAAAGGAAGCAGTAAATCCCAGGGATGAGACCGTTTCCAGCAGCAGAGTCTGTCTGACCGAAGATTGTCAGAGTGAGCTCGTTAGAGCAAAACTCATCAGTAAAACACAGATAAGACCCRCAGCCTCATCATAACTGGAAGGCCGTATCACCAGAGGGTAGCGTGACCTAACATCACACTGTAAACACATGAAGCCTGTTGTTTTCTGATTATCAAATTTATGATATGTGAGAAATAATGTCATGGTTTTGTCATGGCCTGAAAAGTTAAATGTTACCCCTTTCACCAAAGGAAAAAAAATAGGAGACAAGGAAATGTATTTCTGTGTGGTGTCTGTGAAGTTGTATCATTTTTAGCTCTGTTACCTGGAGTTTTTGCCACAGAAGGATTTCCAATGGTTCTGTAGTTGATGGGTGTGACACGAAACTGGTAGGTCACAGTTGGGGTGAGTCCTCGTACCGTGTAACTCCTGACCCCTGGGTCCTGGATGGGGCTCTGGTACCAGTCTTGGGAAGCAGCAGCCCTTTCTCCCTTCTGAACCTGGGAATCATTGCTGCTTTGTTTCTTGTTCGGTCGCTCTGACACCCATCGATGCTCCAGGAGGAACCCTGTCCAGCCTCCTTCCTCCTGACTGTCCACCTGCCACTCCAGCTCCACCTCATTACGCTGCCGGCTGTTGTACGTCACGCTGACCAGGGTCACGTTAGGTGGCATGGGGTGCTCTGGACAGAAATGTGCACTTTTGTTAAAAACATCATAAATCACACCACTTTTGATGAACCACACAGAAGGAACACAAACAATTTGTAACGGTTTTATTTTCCTCTATGATTCAGTTTATGCAGCAAATATCATGTAGGGATTTTTTTAAATTAAATCATTGCTTTACATTCACAAAGTAAATAAAAAAACTGTCGTATTTTAGCCTCCGACCACTAGTTGGCAGCAGTCAGCCAATAAAGCACCTTGCAGTGTCGCGATATTTCATGTTGTGATATGTATCATATAAAATTCTAGTCCATATAGGGAGTGAAGTGTCCCCCCATTGACTGTGGAAGATTAGAGGTCAGTGGTTGCATCAGGAAGAGCATCCCACCTGAAACAATTGCCAAATCTTCATTCGTACCTTTAATTGCATGTTACCAATAAGAACACATCTACTTAAACATACGGCATTAATACACCATAAAGAGATGATTGTAATGCATATGTAATTGCTCTTCTAGCACCAAACTCTTGAAGAGTAGAAAGTACATTCCCAATTATGTCAGACGTATATAAGAAATGAAARRGGTTCTTACTCTTGACCACCAAAGTGATGTTGACCTCAGCTCCTCCCACGGCGTTTGAAGTGGAGCACCTGTACTCGCCACTGTCCTGCGTCTCGTCRGTGTCTTTCACCGTCAGGTTGGCCCACGCAGACGTGCGCAGCAGCAGGTACTTGGATGTGTCCCGGACGTCGTCGCCCTGATTGTTAAACCAGGTGATCTCATTGGCAGGCAGGTAGTTGGACCTCAGTCTGCAGGTGAGCTGCACGTCGCTCCCCTCGAACACCGACACCACTCTGCGCTGCGTCAGCAACACGGGGGCCTCTGCACACAGAAATGTGTTGGTTTAATAATAACAAGAAATCTGTTGGCTGTACGGTGAGGAGGAGCTCTGACCCAGTGTGAGGCTGCAGGTCTTGGGTCGGACCAGGAGTGGGTGTTTAGCGTAGCAGGTGTAGGGATTCCCACTGCGGGCGGTGCCGTAGCGGAGGACCAGGATGTTGGAGTTCTCCTGTCCACCTTGGCTCTGACCCGTCGG